CTCGCTTTGGATTCTCTGTGACTCGACTCTCATCGCTAATAGAGCGTAATAAATGTCATGTTTTTCAGGATCAGGCTGAGCTACTCCTTTCAGTGCCTTGAACTGCGATTGTTGCTTGTGTTGAAATGGGTCAGACTCATAGGAGAAACCATCAGTTTTATCAATTTGCTTTGAAAAATAAGCTGTTTATTTGTAAGATGGTAGATAAATGAAGTTATCCAATCATTAGATGAATTACACCCTCTTTGTGTTTTTCTCCAAATAAAGGAGGCATAATTCAAAGTACTGGATTCAAGCAGCGAGTAAGGAAAATCAGTATATTAAAAAAATAAATTGCTTACAGCCTTGATCTCTCAGGCCATTATATATGTCCAAATGTCAATTTTATTCTATTCTGTTCTATGGCTTCGCTACTTAATTCATATAAGCAATATCTAAACATCATAACGCCTAAAATGAGAAATAACTAAATTCTGATTCTGTGGTCCCCTCCCCTTTTGTCCAGCGTCGCCATTAAAAGCTTACAAATTGTAACTTATACCAAGCGCCAAAAAATATGAGAAGCTGCTTGAGGCTAAGGCCGACCCATAAGGGTTTGAGTGGATCCTGGGAGAAGGGAAAACCTTTTGTTTTTATCATTTTTCAATGCCCTTACTGCCCTCGCAAAGCTCGAATTCTTTCCTTTTCTTGTTCCCCTCAGCCAGTCACCTCCTTCATTATAGCTGCCGCTTCTTGCCGTTGTTGTTGGTGGTACCGCTTCTTTGGCCTACGTGCTCTTTGCTTAATTTTAAACACCCCCTCATTTGCATAAATGAATTATTTTCAACCCCAAAGAAGCACCAACAAAAAATTAAGATTGGAATACGGGGAAAGCAAGGAAATGAAAATGAGAAACAAAGTGAAAGGCGAGACAAGAAATTGCTGTGCATGCGCAAATTTTTCAAGTGCAAAGCGCTCTGTTGGAGAAAGGCACGAAGAGGACGAGGTAGAATGGGGCTGAATGGCACTTAAAAGTAAGCTTAATGGGCAACTGGCCACGTCAAGAGTTCAGACCATAAAAAGCCCAAAGAAAAACAAAAATTCCGATAAATTTGGTCTTTCTGTATTCGTACGTATCCGGCTGATAACCGTTAAACACAAACAATTAAAAATGACAGTTAGGAGGAAGCAGGCTACACAAAGGACATAAACTTCTTGAAGACCAGGTGTATATGTGTCCCTTGGCCCTGCCCCCTTCCCCGTGATCGCTTCAGGTCATGGCATGAAATGACACAATTTCAATTTCAGTTTCATTTTTTACCAAGGAAGGGGATTCATATTCCTTCTCTTGAAAGGAAAGGCAACACCGAAGTGCAACTGCGCACGAACGTCTGTACATGCGTTGATTGACCTGCAACCCACCCCCTCTCTAAATCGGTACTTGCCAGGTTGTCCGTTTTTCTACGTTCCTTCCCTTGATGCTCTCCCGTTTTTTGCAGTATTTGTTTGTTTAGCAGCCAAATGTCAAGCGGGCGTTGGTTTTTGTTTTCCCATCCGCTGCATTGTGATCCTTTGATCCAAAGTTGCAATTCCTTTTGGGCCCGCTCAAGAGTTAAGACTATTGTTAGGAGGAGGGTGCGCTGCAGACAATCCGATGGCTGTTTCAGTAATGCCCTAAATGAGCGTAAAATATTAGGCAAGATTGGGTTTAGAAGCATATTGAGGTCTTTGAAGACTACCTGACTGGCCATCCTAGCCTCTAATCAATCATTTGGGTTTTTTTCTTTTTAGACAATGAAATCTATCTATTATTGCTTTGTTGCTCTGCAAAAATTGAAGGGCAGATCTAATGATCCAATGGCTTGAAGAACGAAAAATACCAGTTCATGAAGACAATAAACACACTGCATATCACAAATTTGAGCTTTTACAAAATAAAGTTATTATACAGCGGAACTAACTATGCGCAAGAATGCAATTTTGCATAACCATAAAATAGTGTGCTGTCCTTGCTTTGGCAGCAGTCGTCGACCCTCAAACCAAGCAATTATAGGTTAGGAGAGCAGGTGGTGTCCCTCTTCTATTTGGCTTGCAGCCGTTGCAATTCGAGACCCATTTCAGATTACAGTCGTATACAGAAGAAACGGAACACACAACTAACAGAGATATAATTACAATCCGAAATCTTTCGATTTTGTGATTAATGCCGAGCCACGATTAACGCCTGTCCTAACCATCATGATGATTTTTACTATTTAAGCCCGCCGAGATCAACATATTACAACTTTTTATTTTTTGCCTTTCACCAAAATTCTTTTGAAAAACCAACTCCCATCAAAGAGGCTCACGAAACAACTCAAAAGCCGAGACAAGTGGGCAAAGCGGAATGCAAACTTGTAAGTCCTTTTTCGACAGCTGCTTTGGCTACCAGGGAGTATTTATTTGCTTCGAGGCCTGGACTCCAGAAGAAAGTTCATTAAAATTATGCCCTTTTCTAATTTTTGAATTGGTCGCTAGAAGGGAGAAGTGAGGGGTACGAGGAATACGAGGACCGCACGATAGGCACTTGTTTTGGCTTCCTCGTCTCTTGCTTTTGACAATAATCACTGGACTGTTAATTTGTTTCCAGCTCAAATTTTGGTTGGCGCTCGTTTTCTGTTTTTTTTTCCGGTTGAAGAAACTTCGGCGCATGCAAATCAAAGAAATCAAAGTTTGGACTTCTAACAAAAATAAGAAAAAAAATTTAAGTTAACTTTTCCAAATTTCAGAACGAACCGGAGCTGGTGCGCGGGTGGATGTAGCAGTAAAGTTTCTCACCCTTAGTTACAGCAAAAAGGGTTAATCAGCTACTGTAACCTCATTGGTTGCTTGCGCACTGCCCACTGGCCAAGGGTTGAATCTAAAAGGGTTATATTAAAACAATGCACTTTCTATGCCTATTGGAACGACTTAAAAAACATCCCCTCATAAATGTTAATTTTTTGAAGACGGACCCGCTTTTAGTGCCATCTATATTTTGGGTGGTATGAGCTTCGCTTATGCTTTAAATATTGTCAAGCAAAAATCAACCCCCATACAAATAGCAGGCGTTGCGGCACGGTAAGATATGCAAATGGTTTCACAACGAAATATATTCCCTTATCAAATGTACCAACGAATTCATATCTATTTGTTAATCACAGCCGTGTTTCAAAAAAGTTTAACTTTTTCTTCAAATCCACTATCAACGGTAACTTTCGGAAAATTGTCAAATAGTTGAAGGCTTCATATATCTAGACGATTTGTTAAAAAATATAGCCCCAACGAATTTTCAAGTTTTCGGAGGCGAGACCAAAAATAAATACCGAGAGAACTTTAAGCACTAACGCCGTTCTTCAGTAAGGGTACACACACGTCGACAAATTTTGTGTCTCCTTCTCTGTTCAATATCAGAACTCCGTTTTCTTTTTCATCAGCGACAACACAGAAACGCCAGCTTTATGTTGCAATAAGAAGCTCGTTACCCAGCCGACTCATTTCACATTTTGCGTGTAGAACACCCCCATCATTTAGTTTTTAACAAATGCTGTGTACGCCATCCTTGCTTTGTCTCGGTTTTAAAAGGAAAGTTGGCTCTCTTTTCAAGGGTTGCCCTGGGCCAATAATTTATGGCACCCGCGTGTACTGCCTCCTGGCCTTAACCAAGCTCCAAGTGTCTTTCCCCTTTGCGTTTTTCACTCCTCTTTCCCCTTCTGTGACTCTGGCTAATCTGACATGAGCTTAATGAGAAAAATCTGCAATTTGCGTCTTTCGTGAGCGTGTCGCATTCTTTTCGCGTTTTCGCTTGTGTGCCCTTTACAGTAATTTAAAATTCATAAGAGTTGGGGCTGCTGCATATTTTAATGCTAAAGTTGTGGGTCCTAATAGTATTGGACTATAGAGTTGTTTTTACGTAAAAGTCGAATGTATGAGTTAGCTTTGCAAAGCGTTACAATACCTTTGGTATCTAAAACAGAATTAATTATTTTTATTTAAACTGAAGTTATTACAGCATACAATTGCTTTGAATAAACATGCCCAAACAAGAAACAGTAATGGAAACACGTTGCGCAGAGCAATTAAAATTTTCCATTTCATCAACCGAAAGCCCAAAAAGTTCTACTTTTTAAAATGTTATATTTTTCTTTCCTTTCGCTGATTTGTTTATTTCAAGTTTAACAAAACAAGAGGATGGATGAAAAGGAAAGCAAAAACCGAGCGTTTGTATAGACTGTGATTTTTTCTACAAAAAAAAGCACCACCCCAGTGAATTAAGTTAATCATAAGCATGGCAACCCAATCTTAGTCTAAATTCAAGCTGTCGAAAAGGAAAAAAAATTAAACCGCCTGTCACTTGCAATTATTTTGCCCACAGGCAGATATCCAATTCAGTTTCAGCCGGAAGTGGAGAAATTAACTTAACTGATCAACCGTTGCTTAAGCTGCAAGCAAAGAAATTGAATTCGTTCTTTGATTATTAATAGTCTACTTCAAGTATTGTTACGAGTAATTAATTAAGGTGGCCAGTGTACGACCACAATCAAAATGAACATATAGGTAAGGGGGAAAGGAAACTAAATGTGGAATTATGTGGCCAGAGCCAAATTCTGGACCGCCACTGGTTCTTACTTACATAGAGCTATAAAACCAAAATCTCCAAAGTTCTATTTTTATAACACTTTGCTTACTTAGTGCACATAATGAAATACAATATTATTTTTACACAATGCAATTTTGCACTCATCGGAAACTTTGAGTGTCACAAAAAGGTAACCCAATCAATATCGAAAATTCATATTCAACCTTTTTGGTTGCAAAATTCAACACAAAAAGAAGCTCCAAAAAACTTTTCAAGTTTATATTTGATTTCCTGCCATTCGAAAGTAGAGTCATTGGGGTAAGCCTGTAAATTCTATTAACGTAGTTTGCTAGTGTCTGGTCATGTCTTTCCAACATTTAAAGTTGCTCGAAAAAGGATCTGATTGTTACCAAATGTACTTCAGATTTGTGCTAAACTTCACACATATTTTTGTATACAAAAAATCAATATTCAATTGTCAAGCAAATCCTAACTCACACATTAGCATATCTTAAAACGTCCAGGTCAAATTTTTGTCAAGAGCATGAGTACCTGTTTGGAACGGTTTTTTTGCCCAAATAAACCTGTTTGCAGCTCTGGCAGAAGGGCCACATTCTATTATCCTGGAGGTGGGTCTTACTCTGGTTACTGGCTATGCAACAAACACCAGGGCTGGGGCGTCAAAAAGACGGCAAAACGAACTTCCCAGTATTTTTTGGGTAAAAAGCATCCTGAGGGGCAGCTAGTCTACGAGGGTCACTGGTATCAGGGCAGGAGGCAGGGAGTCGGATCAATGCTTCGTAAGCGAGGCACTGATGTACAGCTGATATATTCTGGAAGATGGTACGATGACATGAAATGTGGAGAGGGCAAGCAATTCTATCCCGACGGTTGTGTCTATTTCGGAAAATGGCTAAGAAACCGTCGACACGGACTGGGTATCCAATGGTACAATGATGGCAGTATCTATGCGGGCGAGTGGGAGACTGATTTCCGTCATGGTCTGGGCATCATGTTCTACGGTTCGTATTAGATAATAATTAAACTGATACTTCCCTCATGAAACTTTTTTGAAAAAACAGCTAATGGTAATCGCTACGAGGGACACTTTGCACGCGGCTATAAAAATGGTGAGGGTGTCTTCTATCATATGCACACGGGTCAAATCCAAAAAGGAATGTGGGACAATGATAACGTAAAGACGTCGGTGATGCAGGATGATCCTAAAATTCGGTGCAATGTGGCAGTAACTCCGTATCCGATTCCACGAAACTATCTTAAATACCCCAACGAAATAATGCGAGAACTCTTTCAGAGATACAAAGATTTTAGCGATAAGCCCCATCGTAGATTCAACGACAAAGTCAGTCTTGACTTCATACATCATCACCGACATTACGCCTCCTTTGAAGAGCGCTTCGCGTCGCCAACAATTGTGGACCTTTATCCCAGTGCTGAGTACGCATGTACTTGCAAGTGTGAACAGATTGCGCGAAATGAAACCAATGTTAGTCAGATCTAGTTAGTTAAACGATGGTTTCGCACAATTGATTTAAAAATTTGAAGGAATACTAAAAATAAAATTGTGTGGTGGAATTGTACAATTTGTTTTATTTTTGCTGTAATGTTTTATAACAACCCTAGCCGGCAAGTAAGCGCTTTATATAAATTGCTTATTAATTATTAAAAGTATATTTACTTGCCATATACATTGGCTGAGTTGTCCTGTCCATGCTAACAAAATTCGTTACTTTAGAACTTTAAGCCGACAGAGTGAGGCTTTTCTCTAATGGCAGCTAAAATACCTGCGTATCCCCATCACCATCCAAAAAAAACGGACTTGCCACGCCCAAGACGAGCCACCCATCCACCATCCCCAAAAACGACACCCACGTTTTCTACTTAATGATAAAAGAAAGGACATTAGCGGGCCTCGGCACATCTCCACATTTTGAGCGTCTTTCAAGTGAAAAGCAAAGAATTAAAAAAAATTAACAAAAAAGGTCGGAAAAGAAAAGCAACGGAAAAAAAGGAAGCAACAAAAAATGGGGACGCGCACAATGAAAGAAAAGAAAAAGATTTCGAACCACCTCCCAATGCACGCTCTACGTAATACTCCTCCTGCTAGCTCTCCATTTATCAAGTTCCTTTTATTTTGGTGCGCGGGCGTAGTTAAAAATTAATAAATGAAATTAATGCCGGCGACACTTTGCAAGGCATTGGCCAGTAACGGAAGTTGAAGATGTTGCCAAGGTTTTCCTTTGACTTGCCTCTGTTTACATCAAAAACATTTTCATTTGAAATATTAAGCGCCTAAAAGTCGATAATGCTTTTTTCTTGCCAGTGACAGCTGCGTCGCATGAATTTAATTAGAGCCAGCTGAATATCACCAACACTTTTTTGGAGACCCAACGCAATTAACTGCCCACTCCCACAACGTAAGTAAAAACTTTTAAGGGAAAAAATCTCTGTGAATTCATCTTTGTCGCTGCTGGTGATTAATCACAAGCCAGAGGAGGCCAACAAGAAATAGCACTGCGCTCCCTGACCCATTGAACAGGTGTAATGGTGGCACAAAGTGTATATATATGCGCCCTTTAAACTGTCCCCCCGGTGCCGTTAGGCGGTGACTACACGTTTTAAAAAGTTTAAGCCTAATATGCTAAACCAGAAACAGGCTTGGTAGCGGATTAAAAAGTTTTGCCAGCTCCACCAAAACCAACCACGAGAGGGAAATGGAGTTAGTCATTAAGCGTTCCCAGGAAAGTGGCATGTTGAAAAATTGAATACACTTTCCCTTTAACAAGTAAAACGTATATACTACTATAATATACTTTCTACACTATAAAAAACTTACTTTACTATACTACATTACAAATAATTATAAGAAACTAAGTAAAGTTAGAAAATAAAAATAAAAGTAAACATTTTTGTTGCTATATTATCAAACCATTCCACAAGTAAAAACAATTTTCACTGACAATACCTAAAAAATTAGTCATGCTTTATCTCATGGTACTTTCTAGGAGATAAGCTTCCCAAAATGCTACCTTCTGGGTTCCGCGACGCTAAAGGAGGCTCAAATATAGATGGACCAAGGCCTAATGATGGTAATCGTGACGGATACGTTATCGGATTTATGACGGTCCTTCCAGGCGGGAACATTTCATCAAAGGTAGCAGTGGCTAGGATTTCATTCGCCACATCTAAAAACTTTTTAGAAAGACCTTGTTCCAAGCCTGGCACAATTTCGTTAAGGTACAGTTCCTGGTTATTGTTGATAAGGCTATTTCCAACGTCTCCCAGAATCCGATCGCCATTGAACAGGTTTTCTAAGTTCAATTTGAAGTCCTTAAAATCAATTCGCATGGTCATCTTGGTGAACTTTACGTAGTCTTTACCATTACGCAGATAGCGAGAGCCCCGCATTTTAACAGATGCTTTAGCATTTTCTGATTCAGAAATAAAAGGTTAGGTGTTCGTTCTTATGTGTACAATTACAACATACCACAATATCCCTGCATGTTTCCCTTTCCTTTTATATCTAGGAGTAGCAAGTTAAGATGCAGCGAATACTTTCCTCTGAAGTCGATACGCGGAAGTGTAATCCAAAGATCATAAGAAATATCCAACGGTTTAGCGCTTCATACAAAAGATTATAAACTTAGAAACGAAAATTGTATAAATGATAATACTTAGTTACATAAGACGGTCAATGATAAAGTTACTTCCTCCATTGGCCTCGAGATCCGTAAACACAGCTTGAAACTGACTACTCCGACCCAATTCGATATTATCTAGTGACAATGGTTCCAATGGAGGTGTTTTATAGCCATCCCCTAGATTTCCGTGAACTAATAGTGGCCTTATTTGGTAGACAGCATTGATGATACAGCGCTCCAATTGAGGATCATCGCGGGCACATGGTCTGATTGTGGACGCTATAAGAAATGTTATTAATCTCATGTTTGCACTCTTTTTTTTTGACTTTCACATAATAAAGCCTTTGTAGCAGATATACACTTACGCAACTTTGCACAGATGAAGGGACACAGCACCAATATCCAGGCCAGCAATAAGACAAAGCCGTTGCAACACCAATAGGGAAGCATTTTTAGGGTGTTTTTTAACAAATAGTTCTGCGGTTCGGATAAACCGTAGTTGTTGCGCTTAAGCGATCGACTAACGATTCACCAGGGAGCAGATAGTGCTTTTGATTGAATTAAGCAAGCTTAACTAAAGTCTCTCTCTCTCTCGCGACATTCGCGTAGCTTTTTACAAGCAGCTCGGACTTACTGGCACACAAGGCGAAGACATAGTTATATATATTGGAAATTAAGAAGCGTACGCCCGTTGACGCCGCTCAGGGGCACGTGAGTTGTCGCTTTGCATGTAAAGTTAAATTTATGTAGTTTTAAGTGAATTAAAACAATGCTGAATATGCGCCTGTAATATTGAGTAACAAATTCAAGTAAATCAGCTGCGGAAATTTGAATAATAAATTTGGTTACCCTCCTCAAGGGGCCAAACTTGGCGCTTAAGTTGTTAGATATGCACAAGGATGTCACTAAACTAGATAAAGAATAACATCAACACCAATCAGGAAAAACAAAATGTCTATATTTTTTGATGCAAATTCTCTATTTACTAACGAAGCAAACAAGCGAATCACAAAAATATCCCAAGGCTATGGTTGTTATCCCCTCACAAACTGTAAAACCAAAAAGAAAAGACTTCACAAATTATTGAACGAAAAATGAAAAAGAAAAATTTAACATAGTAAGCAGAGTGTTTTGTTCAATATATTTCCATTAGCGTTCTTAAAATCATCCCTTACATTTTGTTATCAAACTCCAAGACATCTTGATATAAATTAGAAGAAAGAAAAACAAAAAAAAAAATTTTCGTTCTATTTTAGCAATCCAATAGCCGTTGTACTTAGACACACTGACCTCTGACACTCAGTTTACGTCAAAAGATTTGTATGACCACGCAGATGGAACATACATATGTACAAGGCAAAAACTTATGCTCTAAAGAAAGTGAATGGGATGAAGAATTTCTTTTCGTTTATTATTATATAAACGAATGTGTTATAGTTATAAAAAAAAAACCACTCAGTTAAAATCAAAAGTTGACCGAACATAAAACCTGCAACGCATTTAAATGATGGCTATGAGGCCCCACCAACCCCCAGGTCTCACCAACAACTTTTTATTTATGCCGTTTTTAAGAAGATAGAATCACACACCACCATCAAATTTGTAACAAATTACATTTGATGCGTGTAATAAAAATCCCGCACAGCTGGCGAAACGAAAATTCTTCCTTCCATCAATAGGCGTTCACACCGCATTTTGGCCTAATTAAGTTTTCAAGTGCAATAAAATGATGGCTGGACTCTAACTCAGAATGTCGAAGGTAAGAAAAGGAAAGGCAAGGGGGAGGCAAACGCCTATTGCGTGCGGACATCAAATTTTTGCTGAAGTACATAAAACACGAGTTAAAAACTTAAATGGATTTACCACAACATGACGAGAAACGTTCATGATGAACACACACATACACAAACACGTTTACCTGAGTTGTTAAAATGTCTTTTCTTTTCAGAATTACTTAGAAGAAATACTTATTTGTATATGCAACAATATTCGTTTTAAAGCACCAACATTCCTGATATAATCTTTGATTTAAAGCATTGTTTGTTATTTTAATTTGCATACTTTTTTTTGGTTTTTATTGCACTTTCATTTTTTTTAATAAGGATTAGGGCTATGCGTCAACTCCAGCTCCAACTCGGTGATGAGCGATCTAAATAACCCCTCGCCAATAGAAATGTCCTGGAATTTTATTTAAATTTACATTTGAAACAGAGATCGGGTATCTAATAGTTGATGCACTTGATTTAGCGTTTCTTCTTGTTTATTTGTTAAAATACTACCTTAAAAGCTTCATGAAGAAGTCCAAGCAGCTACATCAGCATTTTTGACTGCTAGATTTTTTTCTTTCTATCAGATATTTCGCGAAATTAAATTTTTAACAAGAGACATCCCTAAGTCGAGTGCGTCAAATATCAGGTACCCGATTATCAGCTAACCAACTTCAGGTTCTTCGGCTTCCTGCGCAGCGCAAGTTTGTTTCAGCAGGGTGCCACGCCCACTCCAACGCCCACAAACGACTGTAACACTAAAGCCCGTCTAGTGCCCCCACTTTTTAATAATTTGTACAAATTTAAATGAGAGTTCTTATAATCAATACCCAACTACATGCCAAAAATGATATACCCCATGTACTGTATGGGGTCGGAAACGTTTGAAAATTGTTGTCCATGTGTTTGTCGGCTTGTATGAATCCCTTTTTGGCGTTGGGGACCCGAAGCTCGAGATAGAAAACTTTTGTTTTACAACATTTGGAAAAACCAGCTAGTTTAGCGGGAAATCTGAAATCTGCTGCCTTTGTGTATGTTATTTAAATACATTAGATTTAATGTTATAGCTAAGAGTTGTTTTTATCAAAATCGTACTGCTTTCTGCCTACACAGTCATATTGTATTGCAGCGTGCCGAATTTAGTTTATTTATTTGGAGGATCGTATGATACATCGTCACAAAAGTTGTTATCCGAACTATTCTATGTTTAAGGTACGATAGTGACAAGGTTTTAGTTTGATCGTAGTTAAACTGTAAACTGTGACGACAGCATTTTCGAAGATTAAAACTTAAAACAAATTTTAAAATGTCAATACCTACACGCTCGCCGAAAATGGTTTAAATCGGTCCATTAGATCATAAGTGATGATTGTATGCCATATAGTATAAGTATAGTATGACATGTTTCATGAATTTCCTATTGCTTTAAGGAGTGACCTTAAATGCTTATGTATTTCTATGTGAACATTTCCCAGCTTGATATTTGCTAGGAAGATTCATTCCATCCATGACTGATTTTGAAGTGAAGTGGGGGAATGGAAGATGGCAAGGAGCTAGAACTAGATGAACTAGATGATGAACTAAATTGCGTATCGATTAATTAGGTGTCTACTACTTCAAATTGCCTATGATTGGGTCCTGTTTTGCGGATTCAAATTTTCCATTTATCTTTTTAAAAATGTTGCGACCTTCTCCCCCTTTTTTCTCCTATTTTTTATATTATCCATTCTCGTTCTTCTCTGTTCCTACACTTTTATCAAGCTCAAAAATGCAATATTTTTGAATCAAGGCGCCATGTGGTCTTCCTCTTCATGAACATGAGTCATAATTTTCCTTAGCTGGTAACACCAACATAGAATTTTTCTTTGACCTCCATTCTGCATAGCAACAAACCAGGTTCAGCGCCTTTTATCTACATGTGGCCGTCTTTGGTACTTAATTTTTGACGATAGAAATTGTATGTGTAAGATGTAAAAATGTAAGTAGATGAAATGTAAGAAGTATAAGGGGTGCTACATATGGTTTGTGTCTCCGGAACAATTATGTTATTGGTTTGAGTTTATACTGAAATTCGGTATATTTATTTAGTATATGGTATATTTTGATTACTTAGGTGCAGCCAACTGCTCGAATTTGTCAACAGAAAAACAAAAGCATACAAAAAATATATTAATTTTAAGGCATATTTTGTGGTCTCTTTTACCCCCTGTACTAAATTAAGGAGTGGCAAGCGTAGGGTGGTCGCATTTTCAGTTCGTTGTAATGTAAGTGAAGTCAACTGTGAAAGCGTTTCATATGCACATCAGTACATAAATTTGTTGTAATTTGAACAGGGGTAAGCACAGAACTGCGCAACAGGATGCAATTTTCGTAGCCTTCATGGAGCGGCATCCTATCATCTCGAAAAATTATCTTAAAGGCGACAAGCCAGCGGCGGAAGCAGCGTGGAAGAGACTGTCGAAGGAACTCAACAGTGTAGGTCCGCCTGTCAAGGAAGCCTGTGAATGGAAGCGGGTAGGTGCTCCAAAAACCCAAGCCACAAAACAAGCCACCCTTTAATTAACGTGTCGACAGGTGTGGAAGGATTGGAAAACATGCATTCGAAAGAAGATTGCCAATAACCGGCTAGAGGATTCCAAGGCTAGCGGCAAAGGATCACTTTATCAAGATACTCTCACTCCTCTGGAGGACGCTGTAGCCGTTATTTGTGACTTGTACGACATGGCAGACACCATTGTCGAAGCACGCCCCAAGGCCCAACACGAAATGTCTCAAGGCATCTCTTTGCGAAGCATTAAAACTGACCACGACGACGCAACGGTGACAGATAATGGTACGCGGCCACATTGTTGGTAGAAAATATTCCTAATAAATTGTAATTTTCAGAAGAGTATGACGAAGAGGAGGAAGAAGACTGCGTCAACCCTATTAATCTTAAGAGTTCGGGTTTTAAGTTAGAGCATCGCTTTAAATCGAACACTGCAAGAACTACTGCTAAAAGAAGAAAGCAAGATGAAGAAAGTGTGTTGGAAATTGAGCAGGACAACTCTGTTCCGGTCCTCATGGATATAGCAAAAGAACTTCGTGACTTAAATAGACAAACCCGCCTAAACGCTCAGCGATCTGAAGCTAATACAGAGGCATTATTAGCTCTGGGCTCACAGGTAACAGATTTAATGCAGCAGCAGTTGAAAGAGCGAAAGCGCTTGAACGCAATAATGGAGAAATTTGTTCTTAAAATGGAGTCTGCAGAATAGAGACTACGTATACATTTTATTACACGTGAATAAAACTCCTTGCCAATCTAGCAGCATTATCCCTGTATTTAATAAGTTCTTTGGGCGAAGGGTATGGATATAACTTAAAATATACAAACACGGCTCAATATAATAGTTTTTTATTTACATTGGTTTTCTTCCAAATTAAGAAAATATTAATAACAACAGTCAATTGTACTATTCAATGGGTCAATTAACCCAAGGTTAATCCGACCACTTCCCTTACGGTCGCTCCAAGCAGTTCTTGTTTCTCAAAGTTGACGGTCGACGGCGTTAGGGCTTGGAAGCCCTGCTCAGGAGGGCCCTTACAGAGCTAAATTCTCTTAAAAATAAAAGTGGGCGGAGCACTCTGCTGAAACACACTTGCTCTGCACAAGAAGCTCAAGAACCTACATCCAAAATCCGAACTTTCCAGCTTTTATTCTTTCCGAAATCTCAGCGCTCATACGGACGGACAGTGATCCTGATCAAGAATATATAACTTGTCAAAGGTACAAAGGGATAATATTACAATAGAGCAAAGACAACTGTGGAAAAAAAAGAGCTGTGGAAAAAAAAAAAACGCAACGATAATGGTGAAACAGGACGAATACTGGAAATCGGGCAAAAAAAAAGTGTCCGAATAATATTTTTAATATATAATAAAATGTAATAATAAAATTATCTATTATTTTTTTTTAATATTTTGACAATTTAAAAAAATTCTATGGCAACAACGCAGTGTTAATTTCCGACCACTGCTAAAACCAGTTTCTTTAATGCGGACTAAGTCGTGGGGGAAGCTCGCTTTGGGATTTTTAATATAGACGGGAAACAGACATCTGCCAAATTATTCACAGCAAGTGAAGTTGCAGGCACCCTGCTGGTATACGTCTGTCTATAATCTGTCTAGCTATTTCAGATATTTATTGTGAAAAAATATGCACAACTACAAATTGCTTGAGATCTAACGTCGTCTAGTTTGTTACGAAAATAGCCGAAACATATACATATACTCTGCCTTATTTTCGGACAATTTGTACAATATAATTATAATTAAAAGTCAATTTGTACAAAATGTAGAATTTTTCAGGCCGCAAATTAAATAAATTAACTTACATAATTAAAATACTCAACGATTCATTTCCACATTAAAATAACTGATATGAACTCACTTAAGTCGGCATCAATTTTGCATTAAAAAAATGAAAAAAATGCACACAAATTTAAGTCTCCTAAATGTACCCGATAAATTTGTGGATCGTTAGCTCAGGTTCTTAGCCAGTCAAAACAGTTATTATATAAGCTGGGACCTTCCATTAGGCCAAGTAGCAATAAAAGAATTGCCGAAAAATTCCAGTTTTTGCCATTAGTTAATAGTCCAAATTTTGCAATAAATAATATCAGAATTTTGTCCGAAACAACGCAACAAATGGTCCAAACGAGGAGTGCAATGCCGCGTTAAGTTCGTAACAAAATTTGAAATAGATTGACATTCAAATCTAAAAAAATTTAGTTTTCGACAATTTTTGGCAAAACAAATAAACGTGATGTAAACCTTTATTAAAAAAGCAAAAAATGAACATAAGTAAGTCTCCTAAATGTACCCAAAAAATTTGTGGTTCGGCCAGTCAAAACAGTCATTCTTTTAGCTAAGACCCCCTGTTAAGCCAAGTAGCGAAAAAACATCACCGAAAAATTCCTGTTTTTGCCATTATTTATGAATCCTACATTTTGCATCAAATAATATCAGTATTTTCTCCAGAGCAATGCAACAAATGGACCACTTGTTATCTGCCAATGCAAATACATTTGTCTTTTAAACCCGCTGCGAAAAACCCAGCACTAGAAATGTTTGAAATTATAAATTGAAATATCATGTGGCAATATCTGTTGCTTAACTTGATAATGGGTTATTTTAGGCCATAGGGTGGCCGCCAGCCAGCTGAATAAGAATTTGGTGAGAAATAATTTATTTATACATTTCTTTAATTGTTAAATACTATATTCTTGTAGTATTTTTTATAGTGATTGTGTTTGTTGTTCTGCAAAAGATCTCTGAACATTACAAAATTAATTGAATAAATTATTATCCGTTGTCCAAATTATCAGTTGAAGTTGGTTTTAATTTGTACATTAATTTCGCATAAGAGTATAATGTAATGTACATTGTTGTTTGTTGATATAAGACCAGGATTGGCGACAGCCACACACAGACACTTGTACATATGTTATATATACCTATATTTATATTTCATGCTGCTTGATATGAAACCATGTTGGTTTGGTGGGGGGCTAGGATAATACACAAGCACATATTCATAGCATATATGAGTAAAAAGCGACACCCTTTAATATTGTCAACAAAAAAAAAAATAGGAAAACCTTTATATGAAGAAATTTTTGTGTTTGGGTTTTGTTAATAAGTATGTATGCCGGTCACACCGGCCAAATTTTTATAAATGTTTGTGTATTTATATGTACATATTTATTAAAACGATGTGTGTCGTTTTGCAAGATTGTCTGCTTGTTTGAAATATATACGTAAACACTGTCTATTTTCTATTCTGACTCGGTCAGCAAATTTTGTAGTTTTTATTTTTTTTTATTGGAAACTTTTGTTTGTCCGTTTGATTTATTTGGTTGTGTGTGATGATTTGTAGTTTTAAACTGTTTGTTTCTTTCACTTAAATATGTATGCATTTTTAATTTGTTGCCCACTCACCGGAATTTAATTTTAATCCTTGCGTGTGTTTCTGTATTAATCCTTTTGTGGTGTGTGATGGTTTGTAGTTTTAAACTGTTTGTTTCTTTCACTTAAATATGTATGCATTTTTAATTTGTTGCCCACTCACCGGAATTTAATTTTAATCCTTGCGTGTGTTTCTGTATTAATCCTTTTGTGTTTCGTTGAGCTGTAAAAAAATATATATTAGAAGTTAGATATAATTACAATAAGTTATACATGTGACATAATAATAATAATATATATATATAACTTGACCAACTTACCGTTTGGCATAAATTATTCGTCCGCTTCGTCCGTCTTCATCAAGCAGTCGGTTTCTAATGAGCTATGCTCAAGCAGAGTTCGGTCAATAAGAGAATTGAGAGCGAAAGAAATGATGGCCGCGAAGCCCTTACGGAATGCTTCCAATGCACTGTGCCAAAAATAACTAGAATGAGTTTTGTACACTTCATTGATTATGCCTTTGGATATATGTATTTATACACTTAGTAAAAAGTGAATACATAATTAACAATGAAATATGAACAGTACAAAATAATAAATATATAAGAATTATGAAATAAAAATGTAATAAGTTATTTATGGTAAATAAATATGTTAAAAGTAATAAATAATATACAAATTAGTAAAAAGTAATATATAAGATTGTATTATACAAGAAAATGAATTAATTATTAATTTCGAATATAAAGACAACAATTAGTAAATTCATATTATTTGAATTTTAAATTAAACATTCACTTTTTTCTCCAAGTGAGCCAGCAGTTCGCTTCGGTTGATACAGAGAGGGGGGTGTGAGAGAAAGAGAGAGAGAGAGAGAGAGAGGAGTGAGCAAATACATACGTACATATGTACAAGCTATGTTCTTGCTTCCTGGTGTTGTAAAAATATACATATCTGTATACACGTACAAATGCAATTAAAAACCCTCACAAAAAGACAAACCAAATACTAATTATTAGCAACAAGTGCAAATACAATTCCGTCCAATTTATGCGTTTACAATGTACATAAATACATACATTCCTATTACTTACATACATACATACAAAATTAACGGGTCGTTTGGATAGGTTTTTCGGCCTGTGATTGCCGGCATTTTACACTCTGACAACCGCCGTCAGCAACAAAATGTAATCAAAGCAAAACCCACCACCAAATTGGACCTAGCGTGCAAGACATTTCCAGAGAATCAAATTGACATTTGCATGCATGTCATACATATGTACACATCCAACAAATTGACCGCAACCATTTTTGCACCCGTACCATTACTTTTCTTATTTTTGTCATCTCTTCACTCATCTTTTTGCGGGGCGTTGTTTAGCTGCTTCACATATGTACAATGAACATTGTACATACATATTAATGCGGAGTATTCAGCGAAAGTGTAACGTATTTTTCCCCTCTCTGTGTGTACACCACTCTCTGACTTGAAATTGCTCACTTCCTCCCTCTCTCTTTCTCTCACCTCTCTGTATCAGACGAAGCGAACGGCTCGCTCACTTGGCGAAAAAAGGAAATGTTTAATTTAAAGAAAATAAAAACGTAATAATCTAAATCGAAGAAAGACTGCTTAAATTCTATTTATTCCAAATTAATAATTAATAAATGTTCATGTACATTATAACATTATTTAAAACTTATTTACTACTTATTACTTATTTATTTACTTATCATTACTTTTAAATTAGATATTTCTAATTACTTATTTATATATTATTTTGTACTATTCGTATTTCATTATTAATAAATTAATAAATTTGTATTCACTCTTTACTATATGTTCAAATATATATATGTACAAGACTCATTCTAGTTATTTTTGGCACAGTGTATTGGAAACGTTCCGTAAGGGTGTCGCGGCCATAATTTTTTTCGCTCTCTAATTCTCTTATTGACCGAACTATGCTTGAGCAGAGCTCATTAGAAGCAGACTGCTTGATGAAGACGGACGTAGCGGACAAATAATTTATACTAAAGGGTAAGTTGGCCAATTTTGTTTTTACGTAAAACATGTAACATGTACAACTCGTTGTAACTATATCTAACTTCTCATATATGTTTATGTATTTATTTCCAGCTCAACGAAACACGAAAGGATTACAGCACAAACACACACAAGGATTAAAATTAACTCAAGTGAGTGGCCAACAAATTAATAATGCATTTATATTTAAGTGAAAAAAAAAAACAAAAACAGTTTAAAACTACAAATCAACACACAAACAAATGAAACAAACGGACAAACAATAAGTGTTTTAATAAATAAGTACATACATACGCACCGGCCTCACAGGCACACTAGCCAAAAGTTTGCAATAAAAAACAATACAAAACTTAAGTTACCCAAAAAAAAGTAAAGGGTACCTGTAAAATTCAAAGGTTACATCATGTTTTTTTGTTTTGCCAAAAATTTTGAAAAACTGCATTTTTTAGTTTTGAATGTCAATCGATTCGAAATTTTGTTACGAACTCAACGCGGCGTGACACTCCTCGTGTGGACTATTTGTTGCGTTGATTCAGACAAAATACTGATACTATTTGATGGAAAACTAGGATTCTTAGCTAATGGCAATAACATAAACATTTCGGTGATTATTTTGTCGCTACTACGCCTAATTGAGGGTCTCAGCTTCAAGAATAACTGTTTTGACTGGCTAACAACCTAAGCTAACGATCCACTTCATTTTCGGATACATTTAGGAAACTTACATTTTTGTCAAATTTGTACAGGCATTTGATCATGTTTTTTGTAAAGTTTTCAGTTTTGAATGCCAATTAATTGCAAATTTTATGTTAAACTCAACGCAGTATAACACTATATTTGGATCATTTCTTGCGTTGCTTCGGAAAAAATACTGAAAATTAAAATTCATGACTAAAGGAAAAAACAGGAATTTGTCGGTTTTTTTGTCGTTATTAGTCCTAATTGAGGTACTCAGTTAAAAGAATATTTGTTTTGACTAGCTAAAAATGTTCCGGTCCAATTATATGATTTTTCTTTGAAATACCATTGGTGTAACTGTGTTGCCGCAAACTAAACAAAAACAAGTAAACACAAAAAATTAAATATATGTATGTGGGCACACTAAATGTATTTAATCAGTCATAAACAGAGCGTGTGCAAGGGGAGAGGTGACGATGATTGATGGCTAGGCCAAATTAAAATCCAGCTTAAAAAACAAAAAAAATACTGATTAACCCATTAACAAATGAAAACGCAATTTAACCCATATAGTTACACATGAATGTATGTACGTTCCTATCATTATATCACATAAATATTCGGTACAATACATATGTACATACAACATCAATAACGGGTCGTTTGGATAGGTTTTCGGCATTTTATACTCTGACAAACAACACCAGCAACGAAACGTAAGCAAAGACCAAAAAACAACCACCAAATTAGACCTAGCGCGCATCACTACCATTACATTTCTTGTTCTTGTCTATTCTTTTTGCGGTCCGTTATTCAGCTGCTTTTGTACGCAGTATTCAATGAAAATGTAACGTATTTTCCCCCATATTCTTTCTTCTCTCATCTTTTTGCGGAGCGTTGTTCAGCTGCTTTACATATGTACATTGTACATATATATTAATGCGGAGTATTGAACGAAAGTGTAACGTATTTTTCCCCTCTCTGTTTTCACTCCACTCTCTGAATTGAAAATGCTCACTCCTTCCTCTCTCTCTCTCTCTCTCTCGCCTCTCTGTATCAGCAAAAGCGAACGGTTCGCTCACTTGGCGAAAAAAAGGGAATGTTTAATTTCAAGAAAATAAAAACGTAATAATCTAAATCGGAGAAATACTGCTTAAATACCATGCATTAACTAATAATCCTTTTTTTTTTACAAATTAATAATTAATACATTGTCATGTACAATACAATATTATTTATTACTTATTACCATTTACTTCTCATTGTTTTCATCTTTCTTATTTCTAAGTACTTATTTATATATTATTTTGTACTATTTGTATTTCATTATTAATTAATTAATAAATTATATATATATATGCAAAAAATATTTATATGTACAAAACTCATTCTTGTTATTTTTGGCACAGTGCATTGGAAGCATTCCGTAAGGGCGACGCGGCCATCTTTTTTTCGCTCTCTAATTTTCTTATTGACCGAACTCTGCTTCAGCAGAGCTCATTAGAAGCTGACTGCTTGATGAAGACGAACGTAGCGGACGAATAATTTTTACTAAAAGGTAAGTTGGCCAGTTTTGTTTTTACATACAACACGTAACATGTACAACTTATTGTAATTACATCTAATTTCTTATATATGTATATGTATTTATTTCCAGCTCAACGAAACACAAAAGGATTACAACACAAACACACAAAAGGACTAAAATTAACTCCGGTGAGTGTACAACAAATAAAAATGCATTTATATTTAAGTGAAAAAAAACAAACAGTTTAAAACTACAAATCAACACACAAACAAATGAAACAAACGTACAATCAATAGTCTAAAAACTAAGTGACCCAAAAAGAAGAGAAGTGTACCTGTAAAATTCAAATAAAACAGGCAATCTTGTCATTCTTTTATAAATACATATAAGTACACAAACATCCATATACATTTGGCCGGTCACACCGGCTTTAATTACATACTTATTTACAAAACCCAATCACAAAAAGGATAGGAAAATGAATACAGCAATTTTTTTTCAAATGAAAAAGTTCTTATGTTTTTTTTTAGTGTTGACAATATAAAAGAGTGTCGCTATATACTTATATATATATATATATTTGTGCTTGTGTGTTATTATAGCCCCCACCAAACCAACATGGTTTCACGTACAAATAAATAATTTCTTACCAAATTCGTATCCAGCTGTCTATCTGCCACCCTATGGCCTAAAATAACCAACTATCAAGTTAAGCTACAGATATTGCTGATTCCTATTTATAATTAAAAACAATTCTCATGCTGGGTCTTTCGCAGCGGGTTTAAAAGAAAAACATATTTTCATTGACAGATAACAAGTGTAAAACAATAGTGTTTGTTGTTTTTATTTGTTAGGGCCCTTTGTTAAAAACAATACTGTTTCTCAACTTTTTTCGTCGTAATTAACTTAAATAGTGTCTTGGCTCAAAGATGGGATGCCTTGACCAACTTACAACCGAAGGTGACGATCCATATCACTTTCAGGTAAATTTAAGACGTGCATATTTTTCATTTTTCTCATGGGCTTAAACGTAACTTTTTTGAGCATTAACAAACATTTTTAGGATTAAGTGCCAAGCGATTCGAAACTTTTAACGAACCCAATGCGGTGCCAAAATAGGATTCTTAACTAATGGCAAAAATATAAATATTTCGGTGATTTTTTTTTTCGCTGCTACGCCCAATTGAGGGTATCAGCTAAAATAGTATCTGTTTTAACTAGCTAACAAGCTGAGCTAACGATCCACTTCATTTTCGGGTACATTTAGGAGACATACATTAATGGGCATTTTTCGGATTTTTTATAAGGGGTTACATCACGTTTTTTTTACCCAAAAATTGTCAAAAACTAAATTATCCAGTTTTGAATGCCAATCGATTGGAAATTTTGTTACGAACTCAACGCGGCGTGACACTCCTCGTTTGGACTATTTGTTCCGTTGTTTCGGACAAAATACAGATATAATTTGGTGGAAAATTAGGATTCTTAGCTAATAGCTAAAACATAAATATTTCGGAGATTTTTTTGTCCCTGCTACGCCTTATTCAGGGTCTCAGCTAAAAGAATGACTGTTTTGACTGGCTAACAATGTGAGCTAACTATCCACTTCAATTTCGGGTACATTTAGGAGACATACATTAATGGGCATTTTTGGGATTTTTTATAAGGGGTTACATCACTTTTTTTGTTTGCCAAAATTTGTCAAAAACTAAGTTATCCAGTTTTGAATGCCAATCGATTCGAATTTTGTTACGAACTCAACGCGGCGTGACACTCCTCTATTTACTATTTGTTGCGTTGTTTCGGACAAAATACTGATATAATTTGGTGGAAAATTAGGATTAGCTAATGGCTAAAACATAAATATTTCGGTGATTTTTTTGTCGCTGCTACGCTCAATTGAGGTTCTCAGCTAAAAGAACATCTGTTTCAACTGGCTAACAAGCTGAGCTAACGATCCACTTCATTTACGGGTACATTTAGGAGTCATACATTAATGGGCATTTTTGGAATTTTTATAAGTGGTTACTTCACTTTTTTTTTTAACAAAAATTGTCAAAAACTAAATTATTCAGTTTTGGAGGGCAATCGATTCGAATTTTGGTTAGGAATTCAACGCGGCGTGACACTCCTCGGTTGGACTATTTGTTGCGTTGTTTCGGACAAAATACTGATTATTTGTTTCAAAATTAGGATTCTTAGCTAATGGCTAAAACATAAATATTTCGGTGATATTTTTTCGCTGCTACGCCAAATTGAGGGTATCAGCTAAAAGAACATCTGTTTTAACTAGCTAACAACCTGAGCTAACGATCCTCTTCCTTTTTGGGGTAATTTTAGGAGACATACATTTTTGGACAATTTGTTTATTTTTTTAAGGGGTGACCTCACGTTAATTTTTTTTGCTAAAAATTGTCAAAATCTAAATTATTCAGTTTTGAATGGGAATCGATTGGAAATTTTGTTACGAACTCAACGCGGCGTGACACTCGTCGTTTGGACTATTTGTTCCGTTGTTTCGGACAAAATACAGATATTATTTGGTGGAAAATTAGGATTTGTAGCTAAAACAAAATTAGAAATCATAACTAAAGGCAAAAACAGAAATTTTTTGGTTTTTTTTATGTCGTTCTTGTACTTATTAAGTTATGCAGTTAAAATAATGTCTGTTTTGACTAGCTAACAACATTAGCAAACGACCGACATAATTTTCCGGTTCAATTAGGAGACCTAAACATTTTGGTACAATTTGTAAGTTAAAATAATGTGTTTAAATATTGTCTTGTTCTCGAGTACTACTAATCTTTAACAAATGTTTCCTTATTTGTCCCTCTGCTTTACATTAGGCACTGCTCCCTTTAGGAGATTATATGACTGACATTTTTTCTTTAAAATAGAATTGGTGTAACTATGTTGCCGCAAACTAAACAAAAATAAGTAAACACAAAAAAATTAAATATATGTATGCAAGCACACAAAATGTATTTAATAAGTGATAAGTAGGCCACATTAAAATCTAGCGATAAAAACCAAAAAAAATACCTATAAACCCATTAACAAATGCAAACGCCATTTAGCCCATTTAGCCCATACAGTTATACATGTATGTATGTACGTTTTTATCATTATAATGTCACAAAAATATTCGGCACAATACATATGTACATACAACATCAATAACGGGTCGTTTGGATAGGTTTTTGGCATTTTATACTCTGACAAACAACACCAGCAACGAAACGTAAGCAAAGACCAAAAAACAACCACCAAATTAGACCTAGCGCGCATCACTACCATTACATTTCTTCTTCTTGTCTGTTCTTTTTGCGGTCCGTTATTCAGCTGCTTATGTACGCAGTATTCAATGAAAATGTAACGTATTTTCCCCCATATTCTTTCTTCTCTCATCTTTTTGCGGAGCGTTGTTCAGCTGCTTTACATATGTACATTGTACATATATATTAATGCGGAGTATTGAAGGAAAGTGTAATGTATTTTTCCCCTCTCTGTTTTCACTCCACTCTCTGAATTGAAAATGCTCACTCCTTCCCCTCTCTCTCTCACTCTCTCTCTCTCTCTCTCTCTCTCTCTCTCTCTCTCTCTCTCTCTCTCTCTCTCTCTCTCTCTCTCTCTCTCTCTCTCTCTCTCTCTCTCTCTCTCTCTCTCTCTCTCTCTCTCTCTCTCGCCTCTCTGTATCAGCAAAAGCGAACGGTTCGCTCACTTGGCGAAAAAAAGGGAATGTTTAATTTAAAGAAAATAAAAACGTAATAATCTAAATCGGAGAAATACTGCTTAAATACCATGCATTAACTAATAATCCTCTTTTTTTACAAATTAATAATTAATACATTGTCATGTACAATACAATATTATTTATTACTTATTACCATTTACTTCTCATTGTTTTCATCTTTCTTATTTCTAAGTACTTATTTATATATTATTTTGTACTATTTGTATTTCATTATTAATTAATTAATAAATTATATATATATATGCAAAAAATATTTATATGTACAAAACTCATTCTTGTTATTTTTGGCACAGTGCATTGGAAGCATTCCGTAAGGGCGACGCGGCCATCTTTTTTCGCTCTAATTTTCTTATTGACCGAACTCTGCTTCAGCAGAGCTCATTAGAATCTGACTGCTTGATGAAGACGAACGTAGCTGACGAATAATTTATACTTAAAGGTAAGTTGGCCAGTTTTGTTTTTACATACAACACGTAACATGTACAACTTATTGTAATTACATCTAATATCTTATATACGTATATGTATTTATTTCCAGCTCAACGAAACACAAAAGGATTACAACACAAACACACTAAAGGACTAAAATTAACTCCGGTGAGTGTGCAACAAATAAAAATGCATTTATATTTAAGTGAAAAAAAAACAAACAGCTTAAAACTACAAATAAACACACAAACAAATGAAACAAACGTACAATCAATAGTTTAAAAACTAAGTGACCCAAAAAGAAGAGAAGTGTACCTGTAAAATTCAAATAAAACAGGCAATCTTGTCATTCTTTTATAAATACATATAAATACACAAACATCCATATACATTTGGCCGGTCACACCGGCTTTAATTACATACTTATTTACAAAACCCAATCACAAAAAGGATAGGAAAATGAATACAGCAATTTTTTTTCAAATGAAAAAGTTCTTATGTTTTTTTTTAGTGTTGACAATATAAAAGAGTGTCGCTATATACTTATATATATATATATTTGTGCTTGTGTGTTATTATAGCCCCCACCAAACCAACATGGTTTCACGTACAAATAAATAATTTCTTACCAAATTCGTATCCAGCTGTCTATCTGCCACCCTATGGCCTAAAATAACCAACTATCAAGTTAAGCTACAGATATTGCTGATTCCTATTTATAATTAAAAACAATTCTCATGCTGGGTCTTTCGCAGCGGGTTTAAAAGAAAAACATATTTTCATTGACAGATAACAAGTGTAAAACAATAGTGTTTGTTGTTTTTATTTGTTAGGGCCCTTTGTTAAAAACAATACTGTTTCTCAACTTTTTTCGTCGTAATTAACTTAAATAGTGTCTTGGCTCAAAGATGGGATGCCTTGACCAACTTACAACCGAAGGTGACGATCCATATCACTTTCAGGTAAATTTAAGACGTGCATATTTTTCATTTTTCTCATGTGCTTAAACGTAACTTTTTTGAGCATTAACAAACATTTTTAGGATTAAGTGCCAAGCGATTCGAAACTTTTAACGAACCCAATGCGGTGCCAAAATAGGATTCTTAACTAATGGCAAAAATATAAATATTTCGGTGATTTTTTTTTTTCGCTGCTACGCCCAATTGAGGGTATCAGCTAAAATAGTATCTGTTTTAACTAGCTAACAAGCTGAGCTAACGATCCACTTCAATTTCGGGTACATTTAGGAGACATACATTAATGGGCATTTTTCGGATTTTTTATAAGGGGTTACATCACTTTTTTTGTTTGCCAAAATTTGTCAAAAACCAAGTTATCCAGTTTTGAATGCCAATCGATTCGAATTTTGTTACGAACTCAACGCGGCGTGACACTCCTCTATTTACTATTTGTTGCGTTGTTTCTTACAAAATACTGATATAATTTGGCGGAAAACTAGGATTCTTAGCTAGTGGCAAAAACATAAGCATTTCATTGATTTTTTGTCGCTGCTACGCCTTATTAAGGGTCTCAGCTAAAAGAATATCTGTTTTAACTAGCTTACAACCTGAGCTAACGATCCTCTTCCTTTTTGGGGTAATTTTAGGAGACATACATTTTTGGACAATTTGTTTATTTTTTTAAGGGGTGACATCACGTTAATTTTTTTTGCTAAAAATTGTCAAATTCTAAATTATTCAGTTTTGAATGCCAATCGATTCGAAATTTTGTTACGAACTCAACGCGGCTTGACACTCCTCATTTGGACTATTTGTTGCGTTGTTTCTTACAAAATACTGATATAATTTGGCGGAAAACTAGGATTCTTAGCTAGTGGCAAAAACATAAGCATTTCATTGATTTTTTGTCGCTGCTACGCCTTATTAAGGGTCTCAGCTAAAAGAATATCTGTTTTAACTAGCTAACAACCTGAGCCAACGATCCTCTTCCTTTTGGGGTAATTTTAGGAGACATACATATTTTGCATATTTTTTATTTATGTAAGGGTTGACATCACGTTAATTTTTTTTGCTAAAAATTGTCAAAATCTAAATTATTCAGTTTTAAATGCCGATCGATTCGAATTTTGTTACGAACTCAACGCGGCGTGACACTCCTCTATTTACTATTTGTTGCGTTGTTTCTTACAAAATACTGATATAATTTGGCGGAAAACTAGGATTCTTAGCTAGTGGCAAAAACATAAGCATTTCATTGATTTTTTGTCGCTGCTACGCCTTATTAAGGGTCTCAGCTAAAAGAATATCTGTTTTAACTAGCTTACAACCTGAGCTAACGATCCTCTTCCTTTTTGGGGTAATTTTAGGAGACATACATTTTTGGACAATTTGTTTATTTTTTTAAGGGGTGACATCACGTTAATTTTTTTTGCTAAAAATTGTCAAATTCTAAATTATTCAGTTTTGAATGCCAATCGATTCGAAATTTTGTTACGAACTCAACGCGGCTTGACACTCCTCATTTGGACTATTTGTTGCGTTGTTTCTTACAAAATACTGATATAATTTGGCGGAAAACTAGGATTCTTAGCTAGTGGCAAAAACATAAGCATTTCATTGATTTTTTGTCGCTGCTACGCCTTATTAAGGGTCTCAGCTAAAAGAATATCTGTTTTAACTAGCTAACAACCTGAGCCAACGATCCTCTTCCTTTTTGGGGTAATTTTAGGAGACATACATATTTTGCATATTTTTTATTTATGTAAGGGTTGACATCACGTTAATTTTTTTTGCTAAAAATTGTCAAAATCTAAATTATTCAGTTTTAAATGCCGATCGATTCGAATTTTGTTACGAACTCAACGCGGCGTGACACTCCTCTATTTACTATTTGTTGCGTTGTTTCGGACAAAATACTGATATAATTTGGTAGAAAATTAGGATTCCTAGCTAATGGCTAAAACATAAATATTTCGGTGATTTTTTTGGTCGCTCCTACGCTCAATTGAGGGTATCAGCTAAAAGAATATCTGTTTCAACTAGCTAGCAACCTGAGCTAACGATCCTCTTCATTTTCGGGTATTTTTAGGAGACATACATTTTTTGCATATTTTTTATTTTTGTAAGGGTTGACATCACGTTAATTTTTTTTGCTAAAAATTGTCAAAATCTAAATTATTCAGTTTTAAATGCCGATCGATTCGAATTTTGTTACGAACTCAACGCGGCGTGACACTCCTCTATTTACTATTTGTTGCGTTGTTTCGGACAAAATACTGATATAATTTGGTAGAAAATTAGGATTCCTAGCTAATGGCTAAAACATAAATATTTCGGTGATTTTTTTGTCGCTCCTACGCTCAATTGAGGGTCTCAGCTAAAAGAACATCTGTTTCAACTGGCTAACAAGCTGAGCTAACGATCCACTTAATTTACGGGTACATTTAGGAGTCTTACATTAATGGGCATTTTTGGAATTTTTATAAGTGGTTATATCACTTTTTTTTTTAACAAAAATTGTCAAAAACTAAATTATTCAGTTTTGAATGCGAATCGATTGGAAATTTTGTTACGAACTCAACGCGGCGTGACACTCGTCGTTTGGAGTATTTGTTGCGTTGTTTCGGACAAAATACTGATATTATTTGTTTCAAAATTAGGATTCTTAGCTAATGGCTAAAACATAAATATTTCGGTGATATTTTTTCGCTGCTACGCCAAATTGAGGGTATCAGCTAAAAGAACATCTGTTTTAACTAGCTAACAACCTGAGCTAACGATCCTCTTCATTTTCGGGTAGTTTTAGGAGACATACATTTTTGGACAATTTTTTCATTTTTTTAAGGGGTGACATCACGTTAATTTTTTTTGTTAAAAATTGTCAAAATCTAAATTATCCAGTTTTGAATGCCAATCGGTTCGAAATTTTGTTACGAACTCAACGCGGCGTGACACTCCTCGTTTGGACTATTTGTTCCGTTGTTTCGGACAAAATACAGATATAATTTGGTGGAAAATTAGGATTCTTAGCTAATAGCTAAAACATAAATATTTCTGTGATTTTTTTGTCGCTGCTACGCCTTATTCAGGATCTCAGCTAAAAGAATGACTGTTTTGACTGGCTAACAACTTGTGCTAACGATCCACTTCATTTACGGGTACATTTAGGAGTCATACATTAATGGGCATTTTTGGAATTTTTATAAGTGGTTATATCACTTTTTTTTTTTAACAAAAATTGTCAAAAACTAAATTATTCAGTTTTGGAGGGCAATCGATTCGAATTTTGGTTAGGAATTCAACGCGGCGTGACACTCCTCGGTTGGACTATTTGTTGCGTTGTTTCGAACAAAATACTGATTATTTGTTTCAAAATTAGGATTCTTAGCTAATGGCTAAAACATAAATATTTCGGTGATATTTTTTCGCTGCTACGCCCAATTGAGGGTATCAGCTAAAAGAACATCTGTTTTAACTAGCTAACAACCTGAGCTAACGATCCTCTTCATTTTCGGGTAATTTTAGGAGACATACATTTTTGGACAATTTTTTCATTTTTTTAAGGGGTTACATCACGTTAATTTTTTTTGCTAAAAATTGTCAAAATCTAAATTATTCAGTTTTGAATGCGAATCGATTGGAAATTTTGTTACGAACTCAACGCGGCGTGACACTCGTCGTTTGGAGTATTTGTTGCGTTGTTTCGGACAAAATACTGATATTATTTGTTTCAAAATTAGGATTCTTAGCTAATAGCTAAAACATAAATATTTCGGTGATTTTTTTGTCGCTGCTACGCCCAATTGACGGTCTCAGCTAAAATAATATCTGTTTCAACTGGCTAACAAGCTGAGCTAACGATCCACTTCATTTACGGGTACATTTGGGAGTCATACATTAATGGGCATGTTTGGGATTTTTTGTAAGGGTCTACACCATTATTTTTTTTTTTACCAAAAATTGTCAAAAACTAAATTATCTAGCTTTGAATGCCAATCGATTCGAAATTTTGTTACGAACTCAACGCGGCTTGACACTCCTCATTTGGACTATTTGTTGCGTTGTTTCGGACAAAATACTGATATAATTTGGCGGAAAATTAGGATTCTTAGCTAATGGCAAAAACATAATCATTTCATTGATTTTTTGTCGCTGCTACGCCTTATTAAGGGTCTCAGCTAAAAGAATATCTGTTTTAACTAGCTAACAACCTGAGCTAACGATCCTCTTCCTTTTTGGGGTAATTTTAGGAGACATACATTTTTGGCCAATTTGTTTATTTTTTTAAGGGAATTTTTTTCAAATTCTAAATTATTCAGTTTTGAATGCCAATCGATTCGAAATTTTGTTACGAACTCAACGCGGCGTGACACTCCTCGTTTGGACTATTTGTTCCGTTGTTTCGGACAAAATACAGATATTATTTGGTGGAAAATTAGGATTCTTATCTAAAACATAAATATTTCGGTGATTTTTTTGTTGCTGCTACGCCCAATTGACGGTGTCAGCTAAAAGTATATCTGTTTCAACTGGCTAACAAGCTGAGCTAACAATCCACTTCATTTTCGGGTACCTTTAGAAGACTTAAATTTTTTTAAAATTTTTTCAGTTATCACGTTCATTTCATAACGTTTTTTGTGCCAAAAACTGTCAGCAACTAAAGTTTTCAGGTTTGAATGCCTATTGATTGAAAATTTTATGTATAACTCAACGCAGTATGACTCTCCTTATTTGGATCATTTCTTGAGTTGCTTCGGAAAAATTCTGATATTTGGTGGAAAACTAGAAATCATAACTAAAGGCAAAAACAGAAATTTTTTGGTTTTTTTTATGTCGTTCTTGTACTTATTAAGTTATGCAGTTAAAATAATGTCTGTTTTGACTAGCTAACAACATTAGCAAACGACCGGCATAATTTTCCGGTTCAATTGGGAGACCTAAATATTTTGGTACAATTTGTAAGTTAAAATAATGTGTTTAAATATTGTCTTGTTCTCGAGTACTACTAATCTTTAACAAATGTTTCCTTATTTGTCCCTCTGCTTTACATTAGGCACTGCTCCCTTTAGGAGATTATATGACTGACATTTTTTCTTTAAAATAGAATTGGTGTAACTATGTTGCCGCAAACTAAACAAAAAGAAGTAAACACAAAAAAATTAAATATATGTATGCAAGCACACAAAATGTATTTAATAAGTGATAAGTAGGCCAAATTAAAATCTAGCGATAAAAACCAAAAAAAATACCTATAAACCCTTTAACAAATGCAAACGCCATTTAGCCCATTTAGCCCATACAGTTATACATGTATGTATGTACGTTTTTATCATTATAATATCACATAAATATTCGGCACAATACATATGTACATACAACATCAATAACGGGTCGTTTGGATAGGTTTTTGACATTTTATACTCTGACAAACAACACCAGCAACGAAACGTAAGCAAAGACCAAAAAACAACCACCAAATTAGACCTAGCGCGCATCACTACCATTACATTTCTTCTTCTTGTCTGTTCTTTTTGCGGTCCGTTATTCAGCTGCTTATGTACGCAGTATTCAATGAAAATGTAACGTATTTTCCCCCATATTCTTTCTTCTCTCATCTTTTTGCGGAGCGTTGTTCAGCTGCTTTACATATGTACATTGTACATATATATTAATGCGGAGTATTGAAGGAAAGTGTAATGTATTTTTCCCCTCTCTGTTTTCACTCCACTCTCTGAATTGAAAATGCTCACTCCTTCCCCTCTCTCTCTCACTCTCTCTCTCTCTCTCTCTCTCTCTCTCTCTCTCTCTCTCTCTCTCTCTCTCTCTCTCTCTCTCTCTCTCTCTCTCTCTCTCTCTCTCTCTCTCTCGCCTCTCTGTATCAGCAAAAGCGAACGGTTCGCTCACTTGGCGAAAAAAAGGGAATGTTTAATTTAAAGAAAATAAAAACGTAATAATCTAAATCGGAGAAATACTGCTTAAATACCATGCATTAACTAATAATCCTCTTTTTTTACAAATTAATAATTAATACATTGTCATGTACAATACAATATTATTTATTACTTATTACCATTTACTTCTCATTGTTTTCATCTTTCTTATTTCTAAGTACTTATTTATATATTATTTTGTACTATTTGTATTTCATTATTAATTAATTAATAAATTATATATATATATGCAAAAAATATTTATATGTACAAAACTCATTCTTGTTATTTTTGGCACAGTGCATTGGAAGCATTCCGTAAGGGCGACGCGGCCATCTTTTTTCGCTCTAATTTTCTTATTGACCGAACTCTGCTTCAGCAGAGCTCATTAGAAGCTGACTGCTTGATGAAGACGAACGTAGCTGACGAATAATTTATACTTAAAGGTAAGTTGGCCAGTTTTGTTTTTACATACAACACGTAACATGTACAACTTATTGTAATTACATCTAATATCTTATATACGTATATGTATTTATTTCCAGCTCAACGAAACACAAAAGGATTACAACACAAACACACTAAAGGACTAAAATTAACTCCGGTGAGTGTGCAACAAATAAAAATGCATTTATATTTAAGTGAAAAAAAAACAAACAGCTTAAAACTACAAATAAACACACAAACAAATGAAACAAACGTACAATCAATAGTTTAAAAACTAAGTGACCCAAAAAGAAGAGAAGTGTACCTGTAAAATTCAAATAAAACAGGCAATCTTGTCATTCTTTTATAAATACATATAAATACACAAACATCCATATACATTTGGCCGGTCACACCGGCTTTAATTACATACTTATTTACAAAACCCAATCACAAAAAGGATAGGAAAATGAATACAGCAATTTTTTTTCAAATGAAAAAGTTCTTATGTTTTTTTTTAGTGTTGACAATATAAAAGAGTGTCGCTATATACTTATATATATATATATTTGTGCTTGTGTGTTATTATAGCCCCCACCAAACCAACATGGTTTCACGTACAAATAAATAATTTCTTACCAAATTCGTATCCAGCTGTCTATCTGCCACCCTATGGCCTAAAATAACCAACTATCAAGTTAAGCTACAGATATTGCTGATTCCTATTTATAATTAAAAACAATTCTCATGCTGGGTCTTTCGCAGCGGGTTTAAAAGAAAAACATATTTTCATTGACAGATAACAAGTGTAAAACAATAGTGTTTGTTGTTTTTATTTGTTAGGGCCCTTTGTTAAAAACAATACTGTTTCTCAACTTTTTTCGTCGTAATTAACTTAAATAGTGTCTTGGCTCAAAGATGGGATGCCTTGACCAACTTACAACCGAAGGTGACGATCCATATCACTTTCAGGTAAATTTAAGACGTGCATATTTTTCATTTTTCTCATGTGCTTAAACGTAACTTTTTTGAGCATTAACAAACATTTTTAGGATTAAGTGCCAAGCGATTCGAAACTTTTAACGAACCCAATGCGGTGCCAAAATAGGATTCTTAACTAATGGCAAAAATATAAATATTTCGGCGATTTTTTTTTTTCGCTGCTACGCCCAATTGAGGGTATCAGCTAAAATAGTATCTGTTTTAACTAGCTAACAAGCTGAGCTAACGATCCACTTCAATTTCGGGTACATTTAGGAGACATACATTAATGGGCATTTTTCGGATTTTTTATAAGGGGTTACATCACTTTTTTTGTTTGCCAAAATTTGTCAAAAACCAAGTTATCCAGTTTTGAATGCCAATCGATTCGAATTTTGTTACGAACTCAACGCGGCGTGACACTCCTCTATTTACTATTTGTTGCGTTGTTTCTTACAAAATACTGATATAATTTGGCGGAAAACTAGGATTCTTAGCTAGTGGCAAAAACATAAGCATTTCATTGATTTTTTGTCGCTGCTACGCCTTATTAAGGGTCTCAGCTAAAAGAATATCTGTTTTAACTAGCTTACAACCTGAGCTAACGATCCTCTTCCTTTTTGGGGTAATTTTAGGAGACATACATTTTTGGACAATTTGTTTATTTTTTTAAGGGGTGACATCACGTTAATTTTTTTTGCTAAAAATTGTCAAATTCTAAATTATTCAGTTTTGAATGCCAATCGATTCGAAATTTTGTTACGAACTCAACGCGGCTTGACACTCCTCATTTGGACTATTTGTTGCGTTGTTTCTTACAAAATACTGATATAATTTGGCGGAAAACTAGGATTCTTAGCTAGTGGCAAAAACATAAGCATTTCATTGATTTTTTGTCGCTGCTACGCCTTATTAAGGGTCTCAGCTAAAAGAATATCTGTTTTAACTAGCTAACAACCTGAGCCAACGATCCTCTTCCTTTTTGGGGTAATTTTAGGAGACATACATATTTTGCATATTTTTTATTTATGTAAGGGTTGACATCACGTTAATTTTTTTTGCTAAAAATTGTCAAAATCTAAATTATTCAGTTTTAAATGCCGATCGATTCGAATTTTGTTACGAACTCAACGCGGCGTGACACTCCTCTATTTACTATTTGTTGCGTTGTTTCGGACAAAATACTGATATAATTTGGTAGAAAATTAGGATTCCTAGCTAATGGCTAAAACATAAATATTTCGGTGATTTTTTTGGTCGCTCCTACGCTCAATTGAGGGTATCAGCTAAAAGAATATCTGTTTCAACTGGCTAACAAGCTGAGCTAACGATCCACTTAATTTACGGGTACATTTAGGAGTCTTACATTAATGGGCATTTTTGGAATTTTTATAAGTGGTTATATCACTTTTTTTTTTAACAAAAATTGTCAAAAACTAAATTATTCAGTTTTGAATGCGAATCGATTGGAAATTTTGTTACGAACTCAACGCGGCGTGACACTCATCGTTTGGAGTATTTGTTGCGTTGTTTCGGACAAAATACTGATATTATTTGTTTCAAAATTAGGATTCTTAGCTAATGGCTAAAACATAAATATTTCGGTGATATTTTTTCGCTGCTACGCCAAATTGAGGGTATCAGCTAAAAGAACATCTGTTTTAACTAGCTAACAACCTGAGCTAACGATCCTCTTCATTTTCGGGTAGTTTTAGGAGACATACATTTTTGGACAATTTTTTCATTTTTTTAAGGGGTGACATCACGTTAATTTTTTTTGTTAAAAATTGTCAAAATCTAAATTATCCAGTTTTGAATGCCAATCGGTTCGAAATTTTGTTACGAACTCAACGCGGCGTGACACTCCTCGTTTGGACTATTTGTTCCGTTGTTTCGGACAAAATACAGATATAATTTGGTGGAAAATTAGGATTCTTAGCTAATAGCTAAAACATAAATATTTCTGTGATTTTTTTGTCGCTGCTACGCCTTATTCAGGATCTCAGCTAAAAGAATGACTGTTTTGACTGGCTAACAACTTGTGCTAACGATCCACTTCATTTTGGGGTACATTTGGAATTTTTTATAAGGGTTGCATCACGTTTTTTTTGGCAAACATTTTTAAATACAATTTTTTTTAGTTTTGAATGCCAATCGATTCGAAATTTTGCTACAAACTCAACACGGCATAACACTCCTCGTTTGGACTATTTTTTGGGTTGTTTCAGACAAAATACAGATATAATTTGGTGGAAAATTAGGATTCTTAGCTAATAGCTAAAACATAAATATTTCGGTGATATTTTGTCGCTGCTACGCCCAATTGAGGGTATCAGCTTAAAGAATATCTGTTTTAACTAGCTAAAAACCTGAGCTAACGATCCTCTTCATTTTCGGGTACATTTAGGAGACATACATTAATGGGCATTTTTTACATTATTTTATAAGGGGTTACATCACGTTAAATTTTTTTTTTTGGACAAAATTTGTCAAAAACTAAGTTATCCAGTTTATAATGCCAATCGATTCGAAATTTTGTTACGAACTCAACGCGGCTTGACACTCCTCATTTGGACTATTTGTTGCGTTGTTTCGGACAAAATACAGATATAATTTGGCGGAAAATTAGGATTCTTAGCTAATGGCAAAAACATAAGCATTTCATTGATTTTTTGTCGCTGCTACGCCTTATTAAGGGTCTCAGCTAAAGAATATCTGTTTTAACTAGCTAACAACCTGAGCTAACGATCCTCTTCCTTTTTGGGGTAATTGTAGGAGACATACATTTTTGGACAATTTGTTTATTTTTTTAAGGGGTGACATCTCGTTAATTTTTTTTGCTAAAAATTGTCAAATTCTAAATTATTCAGTTTTGAATGCCAATCGATTCGAAATTTTGTTACGAACTCAACGCGGCGTGACACTCCTCGTTTGGACTATTTGTTGCGTTGTTTCGGACAAAATACTGATTATTTGTTTCAAAATTAGGATTCTTTGCTAATGGCTAAAACATAAATATTTCGGTGATATTTGTTCGCTGCTACGCCAAATTGAGGGTATCAGCTAAAATAATATCTGTTTTGACTAGCTAACAACCTGAGCTAACGATCTTCTTCATTTTCGGGTAGTTTTAGGAGACATACATTTTTTGACAATTTTTTCATTTTTTTAAAGGGGTTACATCACGTTAATTTCTTTTGCTAAAAATTGTCAAAATCTAAATTATTCAGTTTTGAATGAGAATCGATTGGAAATTTTGTTACGAACTCAACGCGGCGTGACACTCCTCGTTTGAATAATTTGTTGCGTTGTTTAGGACAAAATACTGATACAAATTGGTTCAAAATTAGGATTCTTAGCTAATGGCAAAAACATAAATATTTCGGTGATTCTTTTGTCGCTGCTACGCCCAATTGAGGGTATCAGCTAAAAGAATATATGTTTTAACTAGCTAACAACCTGAGCTAACGATCCTCTTCATTTTCGGGTAATTTTACGAGACATACATTTGTGGGAAATTTTTTCATTTATTTTAGGGGGTTACATCATTATTTTTTTTAACCAAAAATTGTCAAAAACTAAATTATCCAGTTTTGAATGCCAATCGATTCAAAATTTTGTTACGAACTCAACGCGGCGTGACACTCCTCGTTTGAATAATTTGTTGCGTTGTTTCGGACAAAATACTGATATAATTTGGAGGAAAATTAGGATTCTTAGCTAATAACTAAAACATAAATATTTTGGTGATTTTTTTTGTCGCTGCTTTGCCCAATTGACGGTCTCAGCTAAAATAATATCTGTTTTAACTAGCTAACAACCTGAGCTAACGGTCCTCTTCATTTTCTGGTAATTTTACGAGACATACATTTGTGGGCAATTTTTTCATTTTTTTAGGGGGTTACATCATAATTTTTTAAAACCAAAAATTGTCAAAAACTAAATTATCCAGTTTTGAATGCCAATCGATTCAAAATTTTGTTACGAACTCAACGCGGCGTGACACTACTCGTTTGAATAATTTGTTGCGTTGTTCAGGACAAAATACTGATATAAATTGGTTCAAAATTAGGATTCTTAGCTAATTGCAAAATCATAAATATTTCGCTGATTTTTTTGTCGCTGCTACGCCCAATTGAGGGTATCAGCTAAAAGAATATATTTTTTAACTAGCTAACAACCTGAGCTGACGGTCCT